TTCATAAAATGGCATTGAAATAAATCAGGTTCCATGTTGTCATCATAATAGCAGCAGTTACTGGTTGAGGTCACACTAGGATTTAGCTCTATACAATCTACAGCACTTGTTATGGAAATACAAATGCCCTGGTACAAAAGTTCAAGCTTGAAGCAAGAGGTTTGGTTTATTCTTCTGCATTTATTGTGCTAAAACCTGTGAAGGCCCCAATTCAGTGAGATTATATCTTTGAGTTACTATCTGTAGAATGTTGGCACAAAGTTCTTCGGCCTGGATCTACTAAATGTGTAGCTTCTTTATTTGAAACCAACCATAAATGAATAGATCTTATTAAAAAGGTCAGGGGAGGTCACACAAACAGAGTTATCTTATGCACAACAAAGCTCTGCAAATCTATCTGTCTGTTTTGGTTGTTAGGGGAAATCTTTCAGCGGATGCAGACTTGACCAATTATACAATATTTAGCGTGAAAGAATGTTTGAAAGAAAACCCTTATACAAGAGTAAACAGGAGAACAATTTGGCTCTCTGGTAGCAAGAACATTTTATACAGTAGCAAGGGCACGTGTTTCCTTTATCTAGAGGCACTGAGCGACAAAGAAGTCTTTTCTTTGTCTGCCCTTTTCTAAACAAGAGCTGAGAGATTTATGGGGGCATAATTTGTAAACTGATCACAGCCTTTTCGCCACTTGTGCGACTGCCGCATAATGGATTCAGCACCATGTTTATGTATAGATTTATTTAATTAAGGCTGGAATCCTACACAAACTTCCCTGAAAGTAAACTCTGCTGTGCACAGTGAAACTTACACACAAGAAAGCACACATAAGAATCTGCTATTGTGATGTGTACATTGTACCAATTACGTGCCCTCTTGGAAGCTTCATGTTAACTGGCCAAACACATGCTTAAATAGCTGGAGGCTACATGTCATCATAAATGTTTTGAAAATTTGATTGGCTCGTGTTGAAATGGGCTTTCCCCTCTCTTATAGATGCGTGCATGCCTTGCAAGGATGTGTGGATAAATAGGAGTCAGTGCATTTTTTTTAAAAAAAAAATGTTGTCTTGGCTTCCCTCCCTAGTTGCCTTTACTCATAGAATCTTAGAGCTGGAAGGGACCCAAGGGACATCTAGACCCACCCCCACTATGCAGGAATATTGCCTACTCATCACATACTGCACACTTATTTTCTTCTGAATCCCACAATGATTTCCTCTCTCTCTCTCCATTTCTTTCCCTATGCTTCAGGCAAGCTGCCTGTCTTTTAAATTTTATTTTTCAAATATCTTCCAAGTTGATATGATTAGACATTTGTTTCGCACCTTATTATTATTATTTTAAAACCCTCAACAAGTTGTTTTTAAAAAAAACAACTTTAAAAACTGCTCTGGGGTGTGAAGAGCCAGTGGCTTCATGACATCTCAGGAGCCAGCCAATCAGCTTTGTGCATACTGTAGTTGGTTTCTGCTGGAAACTAGCCAAACCTGCTTCTCCTGGTCTGGATCTTACAGGGCAGATTTTACATCTGAGCAATGTGATTTGAATGCGGTTCCACAACAGTTTGGCCACACTAGTTACATGTGTCTGTATATACACTTATTTATTTCCTTATGTAAATATCTGTGAGCCACGTGTCCCTAACAAGTCCACCCAAAGTGGAGAACAAAATACAACCATAAAAATACAAACATTATAATAAAAACTTTTTAAATCCCAGAAGCTACACCAACCAACAGTACAATAAAATATAATCCAGTCTTTTCCAGAGCCATCATAAAAGACATCAATTAAAAGCCATTTGAAACAGGTGGGCTTTTTAAAGCCTTTAAAAAAACTTAAAGTTTACTTGATGTGTTTTGTAGTTTGCTTTGCCCCTGTGTGTTACAAAGTGAGATCACTGCAGGTAAATCTCCAGGTTTTACAGTGTATTTTGAATATGTGTTAAATATGCCAGTGTTGTATAAAAAAAATGTTTGAGCACATGAGACGAGAGTTTTCCACTCACAGTCTTCTACCTTTCTCTCCATCACCCAAGATATATTTGTCTAATACTGCCACAGCTGAAATTCTATTAAATCCTTAGACTTTTCTTTTTTTAAAAAAAATAATTTTTATTAATTTTTCAACAAAAGGGTATAAACAACACAATAGACAATAACAACAAACATACAAACACATACAAACATGTATAATTTCATAGCATCCTTTTCTTAAACCTCGTTTCAACGACTTCCCCGTACCCCCCTTTTCTGCATTCCGAATATTTAAGTTTTTTCAGCAACTTCTCATTTCAATTATCATTTTAGTAACTTTTATTATCCTTTCTCTATCTTACCCCATCATTTACAGCTGTGATTCTATTTTTATTACTACCCTTGGCATTTTAGCACTCATAAATATTATAGCAATTCTTAAGATAATCCTTGAACTTCTTCCATTCTTCTTCCACCGTCTCTCTCCCCTGGTCTCGGATTCTGCCGGTCATCTCAGCCAGTCCCATATAATCGATCACCTTCATCTGCCATTCTTCCAGTGTGGGTAGTTCTTGCGTCTTCCAATACTTTGCTAGCAGAACTCTTGCTGCTGTTGTAGCATACAGAAAAAAAGTCCTATCCTTCTTTGACACCAGTTGGCCTACCATGCCCAGGAGAAAGGCTTCCGGTTTCTTATAAAAGGTACATTTAAGAACCTTCTTAATTTCATTATAGATCATTTCCCAGAAAGCCTTAATCCTCGGGCATGTCCACCAAAGGTGGTAAAAGGTACCTTCCAGCTCTTTACATTTCCAGCATTTATTATTGGGCAAATGATATATTTTTGCTAGCTTGACTGGGGTCATGTACCACCTATACATCATTTTCATAATATTTTCTTTTAAGGCATTACATGCCGTAAACTTAATACCAGTGGTACATAACTGTTCCCAGTCAGCAAGCGTAATGTCATGACCCAGATCTTGTGCCCATTTAGTCATGGCTGGTTTAACTATCTCATCTTGTGTATTCCACCTCAACAGCAAGTTATACATTCTCGACAAATTCTTAGTATTGGGTTCTAGCAATTCTGTCTCTAATTTCGATTTCTCCACCTGGAAACCAATTTTTCTGTCTTGTTTGAACACCTCATTTATCTGCATGTAATGAAGCCAGTCTCAAATCCTTAGACTTTTCTTGCCAGAGTTAATCCATTGTTTACAACAGAATTTAGAAGAGCAGCATTGAGGATTGTGGCTGAAACCACAATCTTGATCAAATGATCTTTAAGTGACAATTATTGCAGAACGTCTTATGCGGTGCCTAGGGGACATGGTGAGAATGAGTTGAAATGTTGCGTGAGACAGTTGGGAGGTTGCTACTGCAAAATCCAAACACTGTGTATAATTTTCCTCTCGAAGGATATTCTGGACCACTGAAGACAATTCCTCCTGAGAGGTTCAACACTACATCTGTGCCAAAGTACTATCAATCACCTTGGATTGAAGCCATCAGCAACGACCCAGAGCTGTTGGAAGCCTTATACCCCAAACTCTTTAAGCCTGAAGCAAAGCCAGAGCTGCCTGACTTTAAGAGCTTTAACAGGTAATTTGGACCAATAAATAAATAAACAAACACCAAGTTTTATAAGAGATGGATTTGTGTGGAAACTGTGGCTTGGAGCCTAAGACAAAAGAATGGAAGAAAGTTTGCAGAAAGAAAGTTTCCCTCCCCCCCCCCTCGCACTGCACCCCATCACACATAGTTCAAGGGGGGGGCCCTAAGCCTCCAGAGAAGCTTCGGGGAGAACTGAAAACTTTTCTTCTGTATATTTAATTCCATTAATGTATCAAGCCCCTCGCCCTTTGATCCAGGATTACACTAAATTCAGGAACTAACTCGTATGTGTACACCATCAGCCTTAGAATGAACAGAATAGGCTGTATTGCACGCTGAGATTCCCCTACACTAGAGGTGCCACAACCACCAGTTTTGTCTGCCATGAGGCCAATGAGTAAGACCAGTTAAGACCTTGGCACACATATATTTATAGGCATTATATCCTGCCTCTATCTCTTGGTTTATAGATATGCAAATTGTGGTTTGGGAGTTGGGATCTAATCCCACAAAGATCTGAGGCAGGCGCAGTTGCCACACATGTTCCTCTCTGTCCCTTAGGGAATCTGAGACCTGACAACGTCACTAGATAATCTTTCGTCAACAAGAAGCTGAATTTCTGCGCTTGTTTATACCTTTTTTTAAAAAAAAACAAACCCACATTTTCAGACTTTTTAAAACCAGCAAAAAGCTGGTGAAATTCTTGTGAAAATAAAATCTAGGTACAGTATTGCATACAAAGAGCCGAGTGTGCTAACGGCAAGAGATAAACAGAGAAAGAAAATGTTTATATTTCAAATGGTGTCCTTTGGCTTTTAGCAGAAGCTCTAGACGTGTTGACATTGACTGGAAGTATTTTGGGAACATTTTTACAAAACACCCAGGCTGTGGCGCATGCTTATTCAAACTTGATACAGTAATTTCATTTATTGAAACAGTGTGTGTGGTGTGTGTGTGTTTTTTTCCTTTAATGAATAGCTTGCATTTAATTCCAAGTGACTAACACAACACAAAAAATCCTTTCAGAAAGCCAAAAGGTAGCAGTCCATTGCTACAGAAAACAGGAAGCAGGCACTGCATGCCTTTAGCAGCTGGTCAAGACTAGTATTTCCATTCTGCAGAATCAAAAGAAGCAAATGTCTCAAAGTAAGGAGTGAGGTGGCTGGCAAGTGGAGCCCTACCACACTGTACCTGGCATAGAGATAACCACAATCTGGTCCGCCATTATCAACAGGGAGCCTCTGATTCCTCCTGCAGCTGCCACCAACTTCTCTCATAGACTGCCAAGATCCACCCTCATTCAGAAGGCTATGCAGTGGGGGGAAACACATGGGCAGCGTAAAGTTGGGTGGCTGTTTCTTACCACCTTGGAGCCACGCAGTAGGATGAGGAAGGGGGAGAGGAAGATGCCATATATGGCAAAACCTGGTACTGGCTGTTCTTCCCGAGGATATGGTCTCTTCATAAAATGATGCAACAGATGCTGATGGAAGTGATCTCATAATTGCATAAGCTATGAATCAAGACAAAGGCCCCATTCAGATGTAACAAAACGATACGGCTTGTTGTTGTTACAAGACCAGGCTGGGGGTGAACCTTGAGCTCATGTACCCCCCTTCCCCACACAAACAAAGAAGCGCAGTGGGGAGCAAGCAAGCCTGAGGCTTACCCTGAAAGAACAAACCATGGTTTGCTACAGCTGAGTGTCCTGTGACACTTAAAGGCAAAGGGTACAGTACAGCTAATGTTGAACATGCCCGTCTATCTCCCATAGGGTCTAAGCTGGAGTGAAAAGTGTGTAACTCGGCTGTGTTGTGCTGTAAGGCTGCGAACCTGACCACAGGTGGCCTCACTGAAGCCACTAAGATTTACTGTATTGGCCTGAATATAAGCCACACTTTCCCACACTTTAAGTGCAGCTTATATTCGTGACCTTACAGTATGCAGCCAGGAGCGCGGGGCAAACTGCAACAGGAGCGCGGTGAAGTAGCACCCACCCCATATGTAGTCCCCTGTCCTCTCCCCCAAGGCCAGGAAGGAAGAGAGCGAGGAAGGGAAAAAGCCGCCAGCAACACAGCATGCCCCCCCCCGGCCAGCATGCAGTTAGGAGCAGCAAGGAATGAAGCGGCTTATACTGGGGTCTTATCTCCCCCCATTCAATTTTAAAGGTGCAGCTTATGTTCGGGTGCAGCTTATATTCGGGCCAATACGGTAATAAGCCTAGTTGTTCTCAAGACCCCAACTCCTCTGATATTATTTTACTGATAACCTGAGTCTTTCTGTGCAAGAGCCTACTTTGAAATCATGGAAATGGTGGGAGTAAAGAACCCCAACAAGACACTCAGAGCAAATTTGGGGCAGGGAGGGGAACACACCAAACATACAGTTAAGACAGCTCAGCTGGAATTGTGGGAAACTGAAAGCAATGATTGGGGTGGGGTGAGAACAGGGCAAGTATTTTAAACAAAAGCAAAAACCCACAACTCCTCGCTTATATTTCTTTCTGTCGGATTTCTACTTGGCTGAACAAGTCCAACAACCAAATGCCTCTTTTTAGGCTCTATACTCTCTAGTCATTATAAGTAATTAATTTGATTACTGTTTCGGGGGAAATGCAGAAAATGACATCACCTTCAAGAGACCCCAGTGATATAATAGTGACACCACTCTTTCAGTGAGTCAGGTCCTTCTGCTGGCATTGTGTCACTGCAGGAAGAAATATTTCCAGGAATTGTAATTCTGGGTTTTTCACATCAGACACAGACTCATTCCTGATCATCGAACTGTGAAGGCCAACTCCCATTTCTGAACCTGTTAAAAAAAAAAAAAAAGCTTTACACCAGGAAAGCAATGTGTGTTTCTAATCAGCTGCTATTATTGACTTTAATAGAATGGGCTCAGATAAAAAGACTGAATTCAGCTGCAACATCCCCTCAGTTATCAGGCACTACCATATTGGTGTAGTGTTCACATCCGGCTGTGACAATTCATAACAAACCTGGAATGGATTCAGAAGACAGCTAAAAGGATCCAAGAGACCTAGGAGGAAAATGTTATTTATTATTACTTCATTTATTTATTTTTGAAAAAATGTATGAGTCACAGTCTCTGCCACAATAGGACCCAAACCAATGCACAGCACCTCAAACAACAAAAGCCATAAAAGGCAGCATAAAACACACTAAAACTATAAAGCAGTCAAAACACACAAAGCAGTTGCTGAAATAAGGTCAAGATGATCTAAACCCGATAAGCAGCATCAGCAGAAAAAAGTAAATAAACTATGTAATCCTAAATGATGGTTTAGAAATGTCTTACTGAATTCAATGGGACTTCCACTTAGGTGGGTATAGGATTGCAGACCAAGCAACTCAAAGGCCTGGAAACAACTTACAAAACAAAACAAAACAAGTATGAAGATTATTCACTTGGCAGCAAAAAGAAATAAAAAAAATCAATGGATATTTGTGGGACAAGTGTTCCAGCATATAGACACTGAATTTGACCCATCCTCTCTGAGAGAGAAACAAGATGTTACATTAATGATGAGAATACAATTAGTACACACCTTTGTTACATCAGCAGTAATTTTGGCAGAGCTTGATCACCTCAGAACTTTGTGGAATGTGGAGGGCAAGTTCAACGCTCTCTGTGCTACGATTCTGACAAAAGTTATTTTTCTGATATTTGTATGTCAAGGGAAACCCCCACTGGTGCCAGTGGGAGCTTCCCTTGAAATCCAAACAGCAGCATCAGAGACAAGATGTTGAGACTGCGGCAGGGAAAGAAAAGGGTTAAACTCTTCATCCCCATGGACTGAAGGCTGCCCACCTGTCTCCACTGCTGCTATTTACATAACAACAAAAATACTTGTTAATGACATTCACACAATTAATAGATGCCTAGTTTGGCCCAGACAGAGGGAACATGCATCATGTTGGCCATTATTATTATTATTATTATTATTATTATTATTATTATTATTACTATTACTACTACTACTACTACTACTACTACCCTGCCTTTTCCCTAACAGGAAACCTGTGTTATCCTTGACTTAAGGCACCTCAAAACTCTCTTGACTCATTGTTTTTAATTGTGCAATGAATTGGGGAGGAAATTTCCTCCACCTTTATTATCATTTTTCCCAAGAAGGAAAACTATCCAAAAGAAGAACCCTTGGTGAGAAGTGAGGCACCACAGAATGCCTGGATGTAACAAGAAACAGGCTTGACCGGTTATGCCTCCCTCCCTTGTCAGTGAAGCAAAGTTCCCCTCCTGAAATGGATTGTTTTCAAAGCACTAGAAGGAATCCAGTCCATCTGGATGTCGTTCTGTGTTACTGCACTGAACGCAGCAGCCCAACTCCTCAAGCTGCAAAACCATCACCTGCAGGTTGCCATGTACTACATATGCACCACAAGCTTTTAAGCCACTGATTCCACAATAGTCATTTATCCAAATCTGCATCCTTTTCTTCTATTGCAATGTAAAGTTGCTTTCCCTCACTGATTGCTTGGTAGCCATTGCTTTTTGCAAGAACTGCTAGACACTGTTGTTGACCATACCAAGAAGGGGGGAAATGATGGGGGGGCAGAAATAAGGTACAAGAAATATAGTGGTGTTGAGGAAGGGCTGTAGCTCAGTGGTAGAGCATGTGCTTTGCATGTGAAAGCTTCCAGGTTCAATCTCTAGCATCTCTATGCAAGGCTGGGAGAGATCCCTGTCTGAAATCTTGGAGACCCGCTGCCAGTCATTGTCGACATTGCTGAGCTATATGGATCCATGATCTAAGCCTTCTAAGGCCCCATTAGCTAAAGTGGTGCTTCAGGTTAAGAACAGTTTCAGGTTAAGTACGGACCTCTGGAACGAATTAAGTACTTAACCTGAGGTACCACTGTATCAGCCAGCTTCCCATGTTTCTATTAGAAGAAAAAAGTTAAAACTGGATACCACCACCTTCAAATGTTTTATCAGTTCACAAAGACCAACACTGGGGCTCTCTGGGCTAGATTTGAAACATAGGAACTGAACTGCATTTCATGAAACACACAACAATGATTGTGTTCTAACCTACAATTATATGTGATTAATCATTCCTGGTTGTTGTGTACCTGCATTGCATATGTATGGTCACCTGCTTTCGCAAGTCACAAAACTGGGAAATGAACCTAAGCTCAGGCTAATTTTTTTTTGCTGTGTAAAAGACCTGCACTTCTCTATTACAATCAACAAGCTTTATTATGCTGGGTTTTGATTGTATACAATGAGTCAGATTCAAATTACATGTTTTGCTTTCATAAAATGTAGGGCATTACAACTCCTTGACATCATCCAAATGATTGCTTCAGAAGATTTACTCTTGAACTTGAACTAATTAATTACTCTGCTCTTCTTTATGTTGATCCCTATCCAGAAAACGTGTATTCTGAACATTTGATCTAGTTGTAACACATTTTGTTTTTAAGAAGGTACTTCTTTTAAAATATTAGAAAGCTATTTCCTGACCTTTCAGAAATCTGCCTGTAATATCCAAGACTGAAGGTTATGAGGAACCAGACAGCTCATGTGTATATTTTTTGGCAATGTCATTAGGAAACAATGACAATATGTTATGAAATAGAACTTACATATGAAGCTGTCTTAAAATGAGTCAAAGCATTGCTCCATCTAGACTAGGACTGTCGTCTCTGACCATTTCTATTAAGAGATTACAATGGTACCTTGGGTTACAGATGCTTCAGGTTACAGACTCCGCTAACCCAGAAATAGTACCTTGGGTTAAGAACTTTGCTTCAGGATGAGAGCAGAAATCGTGCTCTGGCGGCATGGCGGCAGTGGGAGGTCCCATTAGCTAAAGTGGTGCTTCAGGTTAAGAACAGTTTCAGGTTAAGAACAGACCTCCGGAACGAATTAAGTACTTAACCCAAGGTACCACTGTAGTTACACACACCTATGCACCAATGAGTTTCAACTACAGTATTAACTTCTCTAAAGCAATTCAGCTGAATTGTTCAAGGTTTTTCTGTAAGGTAGCATGCTTATTTCCATTCAAATCATCATTATTAGAGAGAATGGAATAGTAAATCCCTTACATCTACAGTTCTTGCAGTGGTTTATTGTCTGATGCACACTGAACTCCTGCTGCCTTCTCTCAGTGAAGTGGTTTGTTCCAGTGTTGCTAGACTTGATGAGATATCTGCAACACCTTGGTCAGCTCACACTCCTTCTACCACAGTTCCACCCCAGGTGTAAAATCGGAATGCTAGTGCCCTACTTCAAAAGGTTGCCATGAGGATTAGTGAGATAATGGCTACCTACCTACTAAAAAGTACTACAGAGGAAACCAGTAACAAGTGCTTCAAAAGAAAACCCATATGAATGTTCTGAAATACCCCTTTTAATTGTAGGTTCAAAGCAGAGTGAGTATATGTTTTGATTCACCTTTCCTTTACTCTTGTCCCCGTCGTCCAGAGTTGCCACTCCTTTTGGTGGTTTTGAGAGAGCATCGAAACTGGTTAAGTTCAAGGTACCAGATTTCAACTTCCTCCTGCTAAATGATCCACGATTTATGGTCCTTGCCAATCCTCTTTCTACCAGGCGGTCTTTCAACAGGACTCCTAAAGGATGGACCTCTGAGAATATTCCCATAATGATAACTATACACCCTACAGAGGTAAATGGCGTTCCAGAAACGGATGATCTGTGAGGAGAGAGTGGAGCACTCCACACACATCAGAATCAGTCTGGTGATACTCTGCTACATCATTTTCTTATGCAGCTAAAATGTAATACCATCTGATGCTGTTAACAGTTTCTGAAGTTAAGTTTGTTCTACTAACACAAATAAAATAACTTGGCCATTACCTTTGAAAAACTAGTTTTGCCTCTCTCTCTTTTATTTCTCTAGCTCCTCTTTGCTCTTTCTGTTTATTAAAATAATATCTGGCTTGATTTTACGTTGTTGCATTTTCCTATTAAAAGGGGAAGTGGTAAAAATGATACTTTCACGTTACTAGTTTATTTGTCAATTCTGTTTTGGGCAGACTTGCTTACAGAGATACTGGCAGAACTGTGAAAGAAAAATATTTGGCTATTGATTCTATGAGGGAAATGTGAAGTCTTGTGCCATTTCTGCTTCCTCTGTGAAAATCAATTTATTACTGAGTGTTATTCTGAACAAGGTGTGTCTATATAAACAGGAATAAAAAACAATATGTGTAAATAAAACAAAATAGAAGATTAAATGCTTGAGAAACACTTCCAGTGTAAACACATATATGTTTGTTTGACCGATACATACAGCAATTTGACAGCATAGGATTAGCATAAAATGTTGCTGTGAATGATACAAGACTGGACTGAAAATCTACCAAAAAAAGCACTAGATCATGTTTAAAGTAAAATAAGGGAATATATATCAAAGAACAATGCCAATTCCTTATTCAGAAAGTAACATATTTTGCATGAACAAATAGTTAATTGAATCTTTTAAAAATGTATATTAGAGACAATAAAACCTTTGCATGTTGTTTCCAAAACAGTGTAAAGTTGCATTTTAATATAAGTTTAATTTGATTAAGCCAATTGTGAATGTTTGCAGCTTTAATAACATTTTGTGTACGTAAGATCAATTTTGAAAGTGCACTTTAAAACAAAATTTGCCATCAGCCTTCAGGTTGATGCTCACATTATGCTCTTGCAGATGCTTGCAGACGCTGAGGTCCCATGTGTCAGGAAAGACGTTGTTTGCATCATAGCATCATGCAGATCTTATTTGTGTATGGATCTGCACATGGCTGGGATCCCCA